GCCATATCAGCTGGAAAGATCACCACTCCCTCTTAGTGCTATTACACACCAAGCATTTGGTGAATTCTTCCCACTCCTTTAAGAATTTAGTATCTAGACCATTTGATTTCTTCAAAATCCAAATGCTAGCTAATATTATCCCTTACATCAGTTTCCATTTTAAAGAAGAATTATATAGTTCCTAAGTTCTAACCTCAACTCATCTACCCCCTCAGAAGTCTATGCTCTAGAAAAGTTTCAAATATGAGAATCTCTGAATGTTTTATTCCTAGGCTTCTGGCTTATTCACCTCCAGTTTCTTCCTCCTCCTCCCCTCCTCTCCCCTCCTTCTTCTTCTTTTTTAATTTTAGTTGAAAAATGTCTTTTTTTTTCCCCTCTCCCATTTTTGGCTTATCTTCATTCTCTACCCAACCTGGACAACAGAGAGGCACCTTGTGAAGCCGAGCTACTAACAGGAGAGGCTTGTGGTGGAATCAAAAGCAAAAATCAACAAGACTATCTAACAAAAACATCAAGCCCAAAGGGCTAAGCTGAGAGGAAGCAAACAGGCATGAAGCAAGAGCACAGAAGACATCAGGGAAACTAGATAAAAACTAGAGATTCAAAGCCATGGGAAAGGGGGTGGGTCAGGGAGTGAATCTAGATGTCTTTTTCTAAGGCATTTGCAGTCATGAGCATAGGGACGAGAGAAGAATGGCAGGCAGGAAATATGATCCTAAATTCTGCTTCTATAGGGCTCTTTTTCTCCCAGGCAAAGGAGATCCACAGTCTTGAGGGACATATCACCCAGGTAATACTAGATGAGCAAATAATAACTCACCTGGGGGAACTTATTCAACTACTATAAGTACATTGCTTCTTTATTAAATGAGGATATTAATGGTAACCATATCATAGGCTTGTTGGTAACTAATCCAATTAAGTGTGAAGTGCCAAGAAAAGTTCCAGGCCTTATAACAAGTGTAAGAAATGTTCATTGTTAATGGAATTATTATCCAAATTATGACGAGATCTTATGAACCACCTCTTTCCCACAGTAAAGTACACCACTCTGGTGCTTAAGTATTCTTCTACATTTGATTTAATACGTATCTTCTTGAAAGCTCAAATAAAAGGAAATCCCCTTCTGACATAGAAAATAGGCTTTAGGGTTTTTTTTAAATTGAAGTGTAGCTAATTTACAATGTGTTAATTTCTAGTGTGCAGAACAGTGATTCATATATATATGTGTATATATATGATATATGTATTTATACATACATGTATATATATATATACCTTTTCATATTCTTTTTCATTGTAGGCCATTACAAGTACTGAATAGAGTTCCCTGTGCTATACACTAAGAGCTTGTTGTTTACCTATTTTATATATACCAGGTAGTATCTATGAATTCCTGGCTCCCAATTTATCCCTTCCCAACCCCTTTCCCCCTGATAAACATGTTTGTTTTCTATGTCTGTGAGTCTGTCTCTGTCTTGTAAATAAGTTAATTGTGTCTTTTTTTTTTCAGGCTTTAGGTTTTATTCACAGTCAGTTAAGATGTAAGGTTTCCAGGCCATCCATGCCAGCCCCTCCCCTGACTTGGCAGACATTCTGACTTAGGCTGACAGTGAAAGCAGCCAACCTCGTCCACTCTGTCTTCATTCCGTGCAGTATTCTACATGACCTCATGGTACTGGCCACATGGAAATAGCAAAACTGATTATAAATTTAACCACACTTGAATTCAGTGAGTGCCAGTTTTACAGCATGAGCTCAACTGTATCCTAATTCTCAATTTTAAAAAAATTTGTTTTGCAAGGAAACAAAGAAAAAAAAATAAAATAAAATAAACAAATTACAGAGTCTGGATGGACTCTTCTACTTCATGGTAGAAATGTATTTAACAAGCATAATAAGTATGATGAAAGTATTACATCCCATACAATTAAACCTACACACTTTGTAAACATATTTTTAAAAACTTGATTTAGAAATATGGACTAAAAATCAAAATTACAATGTAAAAAAGCCAAATGCAGCTAATCGAAAGATTATATAGAATTCTGGGTCATGTATGCCACTGTACATCTATATATGAATTTTGAAAGTGACATGGTAATAATATGAAATCATTAGCTTTTCAAATGAGTTAACATCAGTTTTTCAATGTTCCATCAATCTTGGTTTGTTAAAGGAAAAACATGAAAGAATTGTGTGATCTCTTGGTTCAATGTGTTTTATTTCCCTTATACGCATGGTTTATCTGTACATAAATTTTTGTCTTCTTAAACAATTTGACTTTTTGCTATTCTCAATATATGTCAGGTAATTATAATACACAGATAATCTAAGCAGGTAAATTATGTTTAACTAAAAGATACAAAAGCAAATTGCAAGGATCCAACTTAATTTCTATACACTGGACTCCATTCCCTGTCCCCACATATTTCTGGTCAAGAAGTGGAGAAAGCCAAAGCTATGACTTCAACAACCCCCCAAAAGTCCTTATATTGCTTCAAAAACTTCACTAAGTATGTATCCTGTTCACACACAAAACCATTGTTGATTTTATTGAGAGAATTCTGTGTGCAAAGATTATAAACTCAAATCATGTTCTGTGAAAATTATAGAGCCTTTATTTAAGTCTGAGTCATAAACTGCACCTGCATTTGAATGGATTTTACCCATCATCCTAAGTGCTCAGTTAAGTCAATGTGTGCATAATCATATCAGCAACTGCAATACTGCATTTAGAAAAAAAACTGTCAGATTATACTGGAAAAACAATTTGCAGAAGTATTCTGAGTTTGCTCTAAAGTATCATATCATATTTGCTTGCATATTCTACTTTATTTTCCACTAAAAGTAAGCCCATTATGAAATTTCATGAAATTTTCTCCTCATATCGGTTAAGTAGCTTGAGCACGGTAACATACATTTTCATAAGATGTTAAAGTTTTACAGTTTTGAACTTTTATTTTCAAGATGTCTTCAGTAAAACACAAGTCTAGTTGAGTTGAAGGTATTTATATAAATCTATGACATTACAGTCATTTCATAAAAAGTATATTTAATTAATTTAAGGGCTTGAAAATCTATGTATTTTAATAGACATATCACCTGTTTTGTTAGAAAGTCTTATCCCTACCTATTATTGCCTGTCACAGGGATTAGTAATGTGGAAAGTGGACCAGTAAAAATATTCAAATTGTTCACTTACATCAGTGGATAGATCATCCAGACAGGAAATCAATAAGAACATTGGCCTTAAATGACACATTGGACCAGATGGACTTAATAGATACCTACAAAACATTCTGTACAAAACCAGAAGAACACACATTCTTTTCAAACACACATGGGACATTCTTTAGGACAGATCACATCTGAGGCCACAAAAAAGTCTCAATAAATTTAAGAAAATTGAAATTATATCAAGCATCATTTCCAACCACAGTGGTATAAAAGTAGAAATCAATTAAAGAAAACTGCAAAAAAACACAAACGTGGAGACTAAACAACATGCTACTAAAAAAAAATGAATCAATGAAGAAATCAAATTGAAAATCAAAACACACCTTGAGATGAATAAAACAGAAATACAACTTTCCAAAATCTATAGGAAGCAGCAAAAGATATACTAAGAGAAAAGTATATAGCATTACAGGCCTACCTTAAGAAACAAGAACAATCTCAAATAAACCACCTAACTTGAAAATTAAAGGAGTTTTTTTCTTTAAGAACAAAGTCCAAAGTTAGAGAAGAAAGGAAATAATAAAGAGCAGATTAAAAATCAATCAATAAAAACCAGTAGAAAATATATATTAAACTAAGAACTACTGTTTTGAAAAGATAAACAAAATTGATAAACAGTAAGCCATACTCATCAAGGAAAAGAGAAACACAGTCTAAATGAATAAAATTAGAAATGAAAGAGGAGAAGTTACAACCAATATCATAGATGAAACTGTAAGAGAATAACTACAAACAATTATACATCAACAGATTGGACAGCCTAGAAGAAATGGATAAACTCCTAGAAACATACACTCTTCCTAGACTGAATCAGGAAGAAATAGGATTTCTGAACAAACTGGTTGCTAGTAATGAAATTTAACTGGGAATCAAACAGCTCGCAACAAAAAAAAAGTCCAGGACCAGACAGCTTCTCAGGGGAATCCTACCAAATGTCTAAAGAAGAGTTAATACCTGTCCTTCTCAAACCATTCAAAAATTTGAAGAGGAGGAAACACTACCAAACTCATTCTACAAGGCCATCATTACCTACAATCAGATGAAAATATTACAGAAAAAGAAAATTACAAACCAATATGCCAAATAAACATAGACACAAGAATCCTCTATGAAATATTAGTGCACTAAATTCAACAATGCATTAAAAGAATCATACACCATATCAAATGAGTTTTATTTCCGGGATGCAAAAGTGGTTCAATATCTGAAAATCAACCAACATGATATATCACATTAAAAAAACAAAGGATAAAAAAATCACATGAGTTTCTCAATAGATGCAGAAAAAACACCGGACAAAATTCAACATCTGTTTATGTTAAAAAAGAATCTTAACAAAGTTGGTATAGAGGGAACATACCTCAACATAATAAATGCCATTTCTGACAAACTCACAGCTAACATCATACTCAATAGTGAAAAAATGAAAACTTTCCCTCTAAGGTCAGAAACAAAGCAAGAATGCCCAGTCTCACCACTATTATTCAACATAATATTGGAAGTCCTAGTCACAGCAATCAGACAAGAAAAATAAATAAAATGCATATAAATAAATAAAATCAAGTGGAAGGAAAGGAGTAAAACTGTCTTTATTTACAGATGACGTGATACTATATATAGAAAACCCTGAAGACTCCGTCAAATAACTACTAGAAATAATAAAGAAATTCAGTAAAATTGCAGGATACAAAATTAATATACAAAATTCAGTTACCTTTTAAGGCACCAATAATGAACTATCAGAAAGTGAAAACAATCCCATTTACAACTGCATCAAAAAGAATAAAATTCCTAGGAATAAATTTAACGAAAGAAGTGAAAAACCTGTACTCTGAAAAGTATGAGATACTGAAGAAAGTAATTGAAGATGACACAAATACAATGCAAAGATATTCCATGCATAAGGATGGAAGAATTAATACTGTTAATTTGTCCATATCACCGAAAGCAATCTACAAATTCAATGTAATCACTATCAAAATACCCAGGGCATTCTTCACAGAACTAGAACAATAATTCTAAAATTTGTATGGAAGCACAAAAGACCCCACATATTCAAGGCAATCTTAAGACAAAAGAACAAAGCTGGAGGTATCACACTCACTGACTTCAAACTGTATTACAAAGCTAAAGCAGTTAAAACAGTATTACTGGCACACAGACACATAGACCAATGGAACAGATAAATAGTTCAGAAAGAAACCCATGCTCACATGGTCAATTAATCTATGGCAAAGGAGGCAAGAATATGCAATGGGGAAATGATAGCCTTCTCAATGAATCGTGTTAGGAACACTGGACAGCTCTGGGTAAAAGAATAAAACTCAACCATTTTCTCACACTATATGCAAAAATAAACTCCCAAAGGACTAACGATTTAAATGGAAGATCTGAAACCATAAATACACAAAATGACTAAAGTTAGAAGGGCTGACAGCAATTATTGCCAAGAATATGAAAAAAAAATTTGATCTCTCACACATTCCTGTTGGGAAGATAATTTTGTACAATCACTATGAGAAACTTTTTTAATGGTATCTGCCGAAGTTGAAAATACACACAATCCATTCATTATTCAGTAAATCCATTCCTAAAGATATAGCCAAAACAAAAGCACAAAAAGAATGTACACAACAGTGTTATACATCATATTACCAACTTGGAAACAATCCAAATGACCACCAACCTAATAAATAGGTTGCAGGGTAATCATACGACGGAATATCACGCAGAAGTGAAAATAAATGAACTACTCTCTCATGCATTTACTAGAGTAAGGCAAATGGGCCTAATACTGAGTGAAAGAAACCAGACACGAAAAGGTGCGTTCTGTATCATTTCACCTACGTAAATTCCAAAACTGGCAAAACTAGTCATGTTAGTGGTTAGATTTAGATACATGGAGTGGTGGTTGGAAGGAGAAAAGAAAGTAACCTGTGGTGTCCTCTTGATATTGCATTTTTGGACCTATGTTACCATTGTTCGAATTCATGATTTATATGCCATTCCGTTTATTTTTAAAGATAAAAAGATAATAATCCAAGATGGAATGTCCATGATATTTATTTGGATTAGACAACCGTTCTTGATGCCAGTTGTATCTTTTCTCTTTTTAACTAGATCAGTCTCATCAGAGATTTAGCCATTTTATTGTTTTTCACAGAGAAACTGCTTTTGAGTTCATGACTTTTCTCTGCTACTTTTCTGTTTTCAATTTGACTGATTTCTGTTTTCATTTTTATTATTTCCTTCCTTCAGTTTCTTTGGGTATAATTAGTTTAATTTTAAATTTAATTAGTTTTTTTTTTCTTAAGATGGGATCATGGACCATCAATTTAAGTCCTTTTTTTTAATATAAGCATATAATGCTATCGATTCCTTCCAAACACTGCATCTTACATATTTTAATAGGTTATATTTTTATTTTCATTCAATTCAATATGTGTTCTAATTTCTCCCTGGACTTCTCCAGGCCCACAGCAGTGACAGAGGCTCTCTTCAGTGTCCCTCCTGCCTTCAGTCTTTCCCATGGGGACCTAATACAAGTTCTTAGGGAAAAAAAACTTGCTAAAAGGCACATATTTCACTATATCTGTGTCTCCCAGGGCTTCCATGGTATTATGTTAACCCAGGATTGATCTAGGCAATTACTTACAATTTTGGCTGATTATTCCTGACCTTTATATGCAGACACATCTCTCCTCATTTCTTTAGGTGAGAAAGTCTACATGTCTTGTCTCTGGGAGAATGGAGTCCCTTCTTATGTTCTAGGCTGTTTACCCAGCAACCTAGGCTCTCTAATGGGTCAAGAAAAGTTATTATCTTGTAATTTATCTGGCTTTCTCTCTTTCCTAGGGTAGATACAATTACTTTTCTAGCTTTTTACATCTTAGAAGTCGGGTCTCAGAATAAAAATTTAAATAAGCAAAATAAAAATTCTCGAAGTCCAGAGAAAGGATATTAGAAATGTGAATCGGAATATGTAGTGATAGAAAGATCAACTACCAATATTTGATATAAAATATATAAATGTTGAAGTAGTATTTGCTAGGTTTGAATAGTAGAAAACTACTGTTAAAGACTAATTTGTAAACAGGAGATTTGGGAACTCTAGAACAGGATAGGAAATAGGAATAAAGACAAGCAAAGACTAAGAAAATTTAGAAGATTTGGAGGATGGAAATGGAAATATCAATATTGATCTAGGAGTAAACCCAGAAGGACAGAAAAGAATACACTGAGGAAAGAAACGTTTTTAAATGACCATAATCAACCAGAATCATGAAAGACAAAAATTTGGATTGAAAATGTTCTTAATGTGATAACAAAGGAAAACATACAGAGACATATATACACATATGCACATACTATGGTAAAATAAAAAGATGTTAAAGAGAGAAAATTGCTAACTTTTTCAGAAAGCAAAAAAGAGATAATCTACATGAAAGTAAGAATCATACAGACATCAGATTTTTTCAACAGCAACAAGAAATGAAAAAAATGCAGTGCTTTTTCCAAAGAGTATGGAGGTTTATGTAATGATTCCATCTGATATATGATGATGTAGCAGGAAAGATAATGACCTCTCCCCTGAAATGCCCTTTCCCTGATCCCTGGAATTTATGAATATATGACCTTCTGATGCAAATCTTGAAAACCAGCATTGCAGGGGGTCCTTCTCATCCGGCAAGTCTATGACCCACCTTTCTGCCTGCCTTTTCCACTTTTAAGAATGCATGTGACTACGTGACTGAGACATTATGCTGTACACCAGAAACTGACACATTTTAACTGACTATACTTCAAAAAAAAAAAAAGAATGCATGTGATTAGATTGCACCAACCCAGATAATCTATGTAGTTTTCTCATCTCAATGTTCTTAACCTTAAAAATATCTGCAGAGTTTAATTGGCTCAGGGGAGACTGGGCCCAGCAGTGCTTAGGATATGCGGAATCAGCTCCTACTGACCTATTTTCTAGTCCACATTCTTCCCTCATCCACTCTTATGATTAAGCACAACAGAATGCATAAATGTCGGGAGCCTCAAGAGACTACGAGCCACAATGACATTTCACATTATTTATATCCCAAAGTGGAAGAGAGAATAACAAAATTTCTCTTATCTCCTCAAGAGATAGATGATTACAGGGCAGGACAGGCCTCTATGTTGACTCTAGAAGTAAGTGTTACTGCTCCCTGGGGTTTTATGAGGTTCATGATCCTCGGATAGATCTGCATTATAAACAGGAGACTGTGATTACATAGTGCACAGAAAGAAAAATTTGCATTCCAAAAAAGGTTATGTTTTCAAGAAGACTCAAGAGAGAAAAAAGGCAGTTGCCTCTTTTCCCTTTATAAGCAAAGAAAATTCATTTGTTTAAAACTTATTTTTATAAAGTCTTTGGAGGTACGATTCTTCTCTTGTTGCTACTTCTGACTCTCCTGGTAGCTCATTTCTTCCTTCTTTATTAAATTTAGATTTAATAAAGCTTATATTTGGCTGATTTTAAGCAGCAGAATTCATGAATGACCTGGTTGGCACCCGTGACTCTCCAGAAAATGTCTAAGCTTTGCTAAAGGGTACTGGGCACCGTCAGACTGACTCCAGGCTTTTCTGAATGTTTCTGTTTGGAGTTCCACAAATTTGGTTAGAAATGATTGAGAAGGAAACTTACTTTCCAGTTTCCACACATAGATAATTAACTTTTCCTTGTTGATATTTTTACTTTGGAAGAAGGGGTTTGCTAACCTACTCTCTCTCTGATACTACAGTTTGTGGAAGGTCTTGACTCTGTGTCTGTGGGGGGATAACTCTCAGCTCCAACAGGCTGCCTCACTTAGCCCCACAGCTGGGTCTCCTATTCTCCACATGGATGTTAAGATCTTGTGTTTGCACAACACCCTAGGTCATGTATAGCATTTACAGGTTCAGCGCTTGAAACTTCAATTTTCTTCTTTGCTCCCCTTTTCCCTCCCTCCTTCCCTTCCTTCCTCTCTCTCTCTTTTTTTCTTTCTTTCCTTCTTTTTCTTTCTTCCTTCCTTCCTCTCTCTTTTTTAAGCAACCATGGATTTCCGTTTCATTTTGTGAACATACATAAATGTATATTTTAAAATACAGTAGTTGTAATTTATCTAGCAATTCTGGATTTTTTTTAAAAGGGGGATATTTATTAAATGTTCATAATCCATCTGGATCCTATAGTACTTCCCTCTCTCTTCTCTCCAGACACAGCAATTATTACATATGTATATGCAAGCTTGCTCTCGTCTGTCTGCAATCACTTCTTCTATGTTGTAGAAAATTTCTCTCATCCTTATCAAAGTGCAGAAATGAGAACAAACGGCAGTTTGCTCAAGAAATACTTACTCCCTATAATTCTAAGTGTAAACTTACAAACTTTCTTGGGTCTCCCTGGAACAAACTTTAAGAAGTCTTAAATTCATGTAGATAAAATAATGTCCCATTTCTCAGATTTTGAGCCAGTGTGGGGATCAAAATAAAACCAAATGCATTTGCTTATAATAATTTTACAGGTTATTATTGCCATCCTAGAAATACGTACAGAATTATTTGGGGGGAAAATGAGCAAATAAATTTGTGTTTCACCAACATAGAGTGACAGTGTGTGAAGGATGTGTGAATGTGTGTGTGTGTTGCAGATAAAGGGTTGATAACCAGGGCTTCCAGACTTGGTAAAAAAAAAAGTCACAGTGAGTTTAGTAGAAATGGGAGGATTGAAATGAGCTGGGACAATAGTGGCAACACATAAACACTGACATAAAAGGAGCAGACACATTTGGTAGGTACTTTCACGGCTCATTTTATTGTTATGTTT